CTACTGCGGGAATTGTAATAAAAACTACGTTGAATTATTCACCTTGTGCTGTCATAATACACCACTATCTGCATTATTTATTGACCAAGTCATTAAGACCGGTTTAAACAGTCAACAAATGCCATTCTTAAATATAAATAAATTAAATGAAGCAGTTTTATTGAAAATCAATATGACAAAATTTGGTACCTAAATAGATTCAGCACATATAGGCCTATATTATACAGCTTTTAGTGTCAAAAATGTTATATGAGACATTTTAAAATGTACACAACTGTTGAATATAACACGACTAAGGCGCAAGAATAAACTTACTGAGTTTATTTACGTTTGCATGTGTTTTAAGAATCTTTGGATGCATTGCCCTAACAGGAGTATCATCGGCTTTACTTTGAAATTAAGAAAAGTCATTTTCTGGTAACTACGTGCGTGAAATGAATGTGTGTTATATCTCTGATAACGTAGCACATTATTAAACCTTGGATACTAAGTCAGGGGCTTCATCTGTGACCCGGTATTTGGCTAGTCTTGGAGTGAAGGTGAAGTGAAACCACACAGAAACAATGAAATAGCCCATAAATACAGAAGCAACGACAAAGTATTTTCTTCCGCGTTTTTTCAAAGTTAGCTGTTGCGGGAAACCTCCTTAGCTCAGCGGCTAAGAAGGCATTTGGGCGACCTAGGACCGACTGAGGTTACCCACGGGCAACCGAGGGGCAGGCAAGCCGAGGCTGTTTAAAAAGACGTCCAAGTCCACGCAACGAGTGGTCTAACTTCTGGCTGAGGTGTCCCGTGTTTTTCTCAGTTGTAAGGCAAATGCCAGGGTATAAGTCAAAAGGGGCACGGTCCGCTTTCCTTAATCATGGAGACCTTCTGCTACAGCGATCCTACCACTTCTGGGCGTAAATACCAGAAAGCCATCCGATTAAAATCCTTCTCACAAAGGACAAATTGTCTCATGGGGTACAGCCCCTTTTAAGAATAGTCAAGGCCTTCCGCCACGACAAAATTCTCGTTAGTGTAAGCACACCCCCGTTTTAATTTAAGGCTCTGTTTACCATTTTCAGTAATGAGTTTCGTATGCAGGTATAGTGCAACCTAGCAACGGACGATGTCTTGCGCTTGGGCAGAAATACGCCCTCGGTTACAATTTTTTGTTGGTTCGTTGGTAGTATTTTTCTTCTGAAATAATGCCCCGTTCTACACAAAAACGTCTCGGGCCTAAAGTAATTGATCAAGGGCTAAGAATATAAAGGGAATGATAGAATGTCAATGTAGGCATGTAATTTGTTAATATTTTGTATGTCTCGAAGCTTCTCGATTTTGAAAAGATGTTTTCATTAGACTTCGTTACTAGGACAATGAAGAACAGTTGGAAATGGATAAAACGCTTGGAGTATTCAAGTAGTATGCCTTTCTTTACAGGGAAATAATCCTGAAATTAGTTTTTCATTCGAAAAGAGCTGGAACTCTTTGCAAGCCTGCTTACAGAAAGAAAAGTTCCACAAAAATTAAAACAATAAGCAAAATAATTCCTTTCATGCTTTTGGCTTCATATCTGTTATATACATAAACATCAAAATTAGAAGGGTAACATTTTTTCGCGCTGCAGACTTTTTTAAAAGTAAACATGGATTCCTTAGGGTCCAATGCATTTAGAAACAAACGGGATGAGTCTGGTTTTTCACGGAGGTAAAGATGTTAATGGTGTTCCCAGTTGTAGCGCCTTGTGGACTTGTACGTGGGTACCAACGTTTCGGAGGAGGATACTATTTCCACTTTCAGGGCTGAAGGAGTTAGTGTATTTCTCCGATACGTTAGCATCCACCTACAAATCCACAAGGCGTCACAAGATACAAGACCGCTACTGACACAGACGGAAGAAGTTTCCCACAAACTAATTACGAATACTTAATATAACAGCCTTTGACTAAGATACCCGATTTCTTTGTTGTGTAAGCCCTTTTCCAAACACAAATCAATTACAATCTGGTATATAACGTAGTCCGAAACCTTTGTAACACATTAATAACAGACACAAGAGACACATTGTAGTCATTCCATTTTTACAAACTCTAAATCCTCTCTCCAATGTCCACGTATTGAAATTTTGTCATTCATAGTTAAGTATAATTTTATTATATTTCAAAATAAATACAACCTTATAAAATAAGCCTATCCAGGGTAATGAATACTATTCCCACGGGGTATTACATGTCGCTGAGAAGTTTATAGACGTTGCGTAATGCGTGAGAAGAGTGAAATGGTGTGAGAAATACAACGTGTTCCATTGAAAACGCTGCATTAACACGCAAACACTCTCGTATTCCAAAACTTTTATATCATTTGGTGTACTATTGTCTTACTTTCACGAACAGAAGGCAACGATTTCGATCCGAAGCAGTGTTCTGAAATGAAGACACGTTCTATGTGCAGCTTCTGCGCAACTCGCGTGAGCGGCGGCCTATCAACCAGGATAGCTTAACTCGACTATCACGGAGGACTTTGGGAGAGTCTATTTATATCAAGGTGGTGAAGCCACTCTTAATTTAATTTAATTGCCGTCGTATAAACCGTTGACGCCGAATTTCATACAAATAATATTCAGAGAATTCAGTCCGTACCGCCTAGAAAATACGTCTCCATGCCGCTTAAGGAAATAATTTACGATTATTCTGAGAACAGTACGAAACCCGTGAATGAGATATGTGGGCAAAATGGAGAGTTACAAGTCTTTTATGCAGGCGGAACATAGGCATAGTTACAATTAGGCTGTAAGAGATTCATTAAAGAAGAACATTTAGGAAAATTAAAAATACACGTGTACAATTACTGTTCTTACGTGAGTCACCGACCAAGTTATTACACTCATTCATATATGTCGATGGCGTAGTGTAAGTTACTTACAGACGTTTGGGAAAATTTCCTTCTTTAACGTGTGGATTACAGTCAAATACTTGATTGTTTTGCAGACAGTTCTTCTGGCTGCATCCATCATTTCTAGGATGGTTCTTGTGACGCCAGGATATGTTCCAGCACATGCTATCGATTACTATGTAAGTATCTTACAAGCCCCACACTCAGTTGAGAACCACGGATCTATTATAAACAAGTGGGACCTATTACAAGTCGTTCGTATTTTAACAAGGGACTTTGATTTAAAATGCGGATTATTGAAAATCATACTATACTACCAAACATTCTCGGTATTTAAATCTGTTCACAATTTATTGCTGAGTTTACTTTTGGTCCTTTACTGAATGACAACGTAACTGAAGTGTCTATACTGAACGACTGCAGTAGTGAAAAATTCAGATTGATTAATTTTGCCTACATGTGTACATTATAAAACTGAATCGAATCTATAATTGATTGTGGAAATTATTTGGAAATTTAAGTAATTTGAAGGTCTCTGTAGAAATGAAGCGATTTTGAAATAGGTGTTGCACGATAATCGAAGAAATCCAATGGTGATTTGACAGGCCTCAGCACCTCAGTTATGTTTGCTGATAACACGAACATATTCAAATATTTAAATATTCGGTTCCTACCTCCACAGAAACACATTTAACTTGGTTACGAAAATCATTTTGGTAAATTTCGTTCAGTAAGGCAATCTGAAATTGTTCCAATAACGAAGTGCATGAGAAATGAATTCTACTAGTAAAGTTCCAACTAATTCTACGAAACTGGTAGTACACAAGTTACCACTGCATTTATTACGTCATTGACATACGAGTGCACCAACTCGACACTAACTAATTCCCGATTGCAGTCGTCTCCGCGTTACGCGTTCAACTACGGAGTAAACGACCAGCACACAGGCGACATCAAGCAGCAATCTGAGCAACGAGAAGGAGATGTAGTCAAGGGACAGTATAGCCTGGTGGAGCCAGATGGCAGCATCCGTACAGTGGACTATACCGCGGACCCGGTGAACGGCTTCAATGCTGTGGTAAGCAAGAGCGGGCCTGGAGTTCATGCCGCACCCGTTGTGAAGCCAGTAGCAGTGCCAGTAGTTGCACAAGTAGCGTACGCCCCAGCACCGATCGCAGCTCCCATCGGTGAGTTGGAATTTACGGTTCAGCTGCGTCTTTTGGTTTCAGGTGGCGATATATTCGTTCTTCGGCTACGTCATAGCAAAATTAAAGCTTACACGGCGACTAAGTATAACTAATTCTGACTACCAGCAGTGTAAGGGGGTTTAATGGAGAAAACACCAACGTTTCGAGAACAATCTTCCTTCTCGTCCTCAGGGTACTAAAATTGTAGGAGATATCGTCCATGCTCTGACGGGATCTTCTACAACGTCAGTACCCTGAGGATACGAACAAGTGTGGTTCTCGAAACATTTGTGTTTCCTCCATTAAACCACCCGAGAAGAATACATTATAGTTTAATGTTGTTTACACTCTCACTACACGAAGCACAGTCCTTGTTGAGAAGCTGATAGACGCTCAGCCGTCCGAGAAATCCCTCGACTTTTATGAAACCCCGTTCAGTTCATTGCAGAATCTAACAACCAGTATCTTCAACATCCGTTTCAATATTTACCTCTCATCTGCGATGTCTTTTTGGAATTTGTTCCTTCCTTTCATAATGTCGACGAAAAACTTGTATTTCTGATACCCCATGCGTACTACATGCCCTGCTGATCTCGTCCACCTTTATTTAATCACCCTGTATATTCAGTGAGGAGTCTGATATTTATTCTCAATATTTGCTTTTGCTGTACTTTTAGAGGGACACAATTTCCCCTTCAGAAACTGACTGACTTGCTTTGGTATTTGAACCTAAAGTAACAGCATGTCTGACGCGGGAGTTCGTCATCAAATTTCCTACGACGGTTTAACAAAATTCGCGTTTTTTATACCAGAAAAATTTGTATCAATCCCACCAGACATGAAAAAGGCACTGCAGATTGATCCTTCATTCAATACCAACAATTAAGGTCTATTTAAATTTTTTCTCGAAAATTGATATATTTAAATCCAATATATTTTAATTAGCCTATACATGTTTCATACTCAATAATGTGCAATGGCAGTGTTTGAACTGGGCGAGCAATGATAAGTAGACTCTCACTAAATTAATTAATTTCTATATTATTTCTGCTTGCAACAGTGGCTCCTCGTTACAGCCCGATACATTTTACAAGTACTGCCCCAAAATTACATATACACATTATAATACGGAATATTAACCTTGTCAGTCAGTTGCCCATCGCTGTCACCTCTGCCTACACTGTAGGTGTTCAAAATGACCACCTTTAACTTCGCTAATTCACCAAATGCCAATACTGTCGTATCTAATGGTTTGGATTTTCAAAATGTGTTTATTTCATTCATTGAACTTGTGAAACATCTTTTTGGGACAACTCTGTATACAGCCTACTGAATTACGAGTGTGACTGTTGTGGGTTTTTGTTTCAGCCGTGACGAAGCAGCACTATGCTCAGTACGAGACGTACCCAACTCACACCGCGGCACACCTCGTCCCTGACTACGATGCATATGACACGGGGTATGTGGACTCTGTCGGTGGTGCGCATAGCGGACATTATTCCAACTACGGATATTACTGATACACACACACGTTCCACAGTCACGCACTCAAACGATTTGAAGTCCACAATCTCTCATACTGTTAATATGATTGTAGTTCAGCATGTCTAAAGAAGAGACCATAAAATCTAAGAGTAAAGTGTGATCTGAATTAAATAAAATTAGCCAAACGATTCTGGGCGATCGCTGTTAACAAACTGCAACTAAAGACACGGACTATAGTTATTTATCGCATTGCAAACTAATCAGCAAAGTGCAGGAATAGAGTGACTACAAATGGCCCAATGGCAGCGGTCTGACTTTGCCAACAAAAGACTGTAAGAGCATTGCTCATCACAGAAACAGAAAGACTACAGCACTGTAAATTTCTTACGCTGTTTGCTTTATTTTCCCTTCATTTGGTAACCTTGGTAAACATTGAAACCATAGTAACAAAGGTAACAATAGTAATCAACGTAATTACAGCAACCATACCATGACGTCATCGAGGAGAATTGTCCTCTCATCTCACGACTTCGAAAATACGTCAGATTTGTTATTATCCAATGGACTAAATTAAAAATTACGAGTTTGGGCAAGCCTCCAATGACAAAAATGCATAATAAGTTTCACGAAAATCTCTTCAGCCACTATAAAGTTTTATAAGACGAACAGACGGACGGACAAAGAAAACTTAATATGAGCAAAATATTAATGTATAATTATTATTAAAATCATTAATCATTCATTTATAGGACTTCATAAAAGATCAATCTGAAACGTAATTATAGTTTCATCAATAAACTGCTAAATATCTCGAAATTAAAATTGTTCTATGTTTAACAACCAGAAGTTCACTGCTTTCTGGTATTAAACATAAGAACAAATTTTATGATTGACGTTAATAAAATTAGGCAATTTGTCAGAGTGCATAAATCAATTTTTTGACATGGCCTGGTAATTTATTAAGCATAAATAAAGTAAATAAAATCTGGAGTTTTGTGACGATTTTTTGTTGTTAAGACAACGAAATTCCTGGACATTATCCATTCGTATCGATTTTTCCCTGGAGATAGAGACTAACTCTATAAATTGGGTTTAAAAGAATAGGTTATTATCTGAGTTTACAATCTCCGAAACGTCGTGGTTTAACAAAAATCAAGATAATACATAATCTTCATGTCCATGAAATAAAGTATCTGAATACCTTACCTTCCTTGAAGCCAACACAATTTGGAACCAAATCGGTCAGCTTTATTCTCAGTAAAGTCTCTCAGCTCTATAATTAATTTCGAATAATTACTGAAAGTCGATTGAAATTAAGTGAATTCCTTAATCATAAAACAGCTCGGGCTTCATACGCGATGTGACTCCGATTCTACAATATAATGTTTATTTGTAATTTTCCTCGTAGATTAAATATGAATTGTTCAAAAAAGAAATTACACCACATGGGTAGTTAGTTAAAAGTTTTGGTTTGTGGTGGTTGAGTCAGAGTAATAAATTTGAATTTCTCGCTAGAATATGAGTCTATCGAAGTAGGCGAGCTTGCTTGAAAGAAATCACTAGATGTTTCATCAGCTTTGTAGCATACGTCTTGCTGACCTGCGAAATTAAAACATACATACATACATACATACATACATACATACATACATACATACATACATACATACATACATACATACATACATACATACATACATACATACATACATACATACATACATAAACACAAAGCAGGTAGCCTGCAAATTAATGGCGCCAAGCTGACAATTTATTAATTGAATGAAATGATGCGGGAATTTTCTAGTAATGGTGGGATCTTTTAAGCGCAGTAATGACATTCGGACTCCATAAAAGATGGAAAGTCTTTTACCAGCTAAGAGACCATCAGCATCTCCGGAAGGTCTCTGATCCACCGAGTTTTTACCTGTACTAATGGAATAAATTTTGCATAAGATTATAACAACGGAAACAAGTGAAGCCTACCAAGCAGCAGACGGCCGGCCGGTTATGGAGAAAGTCCTTCTACCCTTGTAACACTTTCTAAACTAATGTTACACTTTACAACGAGCAGTGAAGCCACAAAGTTAAATACGTTTTCATGGAACAACAATTTAACTTTCTCGTAATATGGTCGAGTTTTCGTACGAATCCACCGAGTGTTAAGAGCGAACATAAAGCGCTTTATATGATTTTGTTTCCATTTTTCGTTCTAAAATGCTCATGGAGTTGATCTTGTGACTACCGCAGAAGCCGTTCATAAAACGAAATTCAACCCAGGCAACTCTCGGTTTACGAACGTTCGATTTTTAAAATTTCGTAAAGTCCCCAATAGATAGAGTTCCTTAAAAAACGAAATGCCAAACGTGTAGTGAACATAATTGAAGATATAAATAAATAAACTTTTTTAAAATGTATTTATTACAATAATTATCAGAAAATTATTGTATGATAATTATACTGAACTCTTCTTGGTTAATAAAACGAATCTAGCCAGTAAAAACCGTTGGTTTACATGCCACGCCGCGTAGATTGTTTTCTCGCATAACATTATAATAAAACGTATTGTATAGACCATTCGATGTTTAGTACATGGTTTTAATGCTTTAAAATTTCTTCTAACGTTACGATACGTATCGTAAAAGCTCAGGAATGCAAGATGATCGTAACGAACAACGTCTTGGAACGGGATTCGTTCGTAAACCGAGAGTTGCCTGTAACTTGTTTACAATGCTTGACCTATGTTTGATACTAAGAAAAGAAACCCAAAATAAAATAATTTTGAAGGTAACTGCCTTCTGTAGTGTTGCGCCTTGTAGTTTTGTATAAACTGGCCGAATGTTTCAGAGGTGCTTGCCCAAAAGACAGTCATCTTCATATTCGTCGCAGCCGGATACTGAAATCTCACATAAATATAATAGTGTTATGTTATCTGTCTTCTTAAGATCCAAAACGTAGACCTTCAGACCGGTTATTACTGTCGATTCGTACAGTTATTTAAATACTTTTCGTTAATTACACAAGCAATGACTAAAACTCTGTGACAATGATTATTTTATTTTACTTTTGACATTTCTGAAAACGTTTCAGTTTAAAAGCATCGTAAAGTAAACAAACGAATGAGCGCAAATTCGGCAAATTAAACTAAATCTATTCATATAATATACTTACTTGTTCTAGGGTTACTTAAAGACGCTATATTAACATTCAGAATTAAGTTCCTGAAACAGGATCTTTCTAGAGAAGTTAATAGGTGCTCACCTAGTCAAGAAATTCCTTTTATGAAACCCAAAGTTTCAGTCAGATTTCGCCACTGGTCCCTATTCCGAGGCAGATGAATCCATCCAACATACTACTACACTATCTCTTTAAAAGACATTTTAACGTCATCCTCCCGTCTGAAACTACCTATTCCAAAAGGCCTCTTTGTTTAAGGTTTCTGTACAAATTGATTAATTACAATAAAATCGTGAGTACAGAGTCGGAAACTATGCAGAAAAGGATATCGTGGAAATTATTTGAAGACGTTCGCTAGAAGGTTCTGAAGAATACCATGAAAGTCTGTCGCTACACGAGCTCTTGGTGAAAGAAGATTCTAACTTTTTCACGTTTATAAAAGTAACTGTGATGTAAATTATCCTATACTACTGTTTAACGGTTTGAAACGTAACACTGCATACGTATGCGTTCCTAACATAAGCATACTCCGAAGAAGTGGATAGGTATTTACGCACAACGCATGTAGAAACGCATACGTAATATTCTGTAAATAGATATTACTGGCATGAAGTTAATATAAAGTAGAACTGGCCACAAAAACCGGCAAGTATATGTGAAATTAATACGCGTAATATGTAAATTTACCCTTTGGTTGGCTATATGCCTAATCTGCATGTCAGTGTGAATGCCACTGGAATTTAAAGGCTTCGACAAGCCATGCGTTCATGGGCTGTTAGACTTACAAAGAACGATATTCATATCAAAGTGTCGAATCAGAGATGTAGCCCTTAGGACTGGTCAGGTCTATCACACACCTCGTGGGGCAAAGACAGATGACAATGGAGCAATGATTTAATGATGATTAGCAAGATAAACTAAAGAACCAGGAAAAAATCTGGTCCAGTTCCACATCGTCAACTACAAATATTACTTGAAGTATCCTGGGATTAAATCCGGGTCCCCACGGTAAGACGCCATAGCTCTAGCAGCTGATACCCTGCTGAATGTATGAAATATTAAGAGAACTTTTCTCTAAACGTATGCAGTGATGCTTGGAGAAGTGTGAATATCCTCTGTTTCGTAGCGTAACTGTAGTGCACTTTATTTCGTTGCGTGCAGATGGCAATGCGCGTAACTGCAGATAAGTTGCAGTATATAAGATACCCGTGTGTCTAAAGCACCATCATTAGAACCAGCAAAGGCAACATATAACACACGACACCGTGCAGACTCGTCTCACACAAGGAAATTATGTTTAAATTACAGGTAAGTGTGCATACGAAGAGGTGCAGAAACCAAAATATATTATTATGGATCCAGTTTCTGGGTAATAACACTTCGTAAATTAGGCTATATTTCCATAGTTTGCTGTATCCATCTTCAAAGCGAAGTTTGCAGATGTCTGCACTCACACAAAGCATTCGGATGCAATGACTATAAAGTTTCACCACAACCTATGCAAGGATTATATTTATAAACGTGGATCATTAATTAAAAGTATCATTAAATTGAATTAAAATTAATGCCACATATACATGACTATTGTGCAATATAAATCTCGTGTATCGCGGTACAAATAATAACTCATAATGTAAAGAGTTCGTAACTTCGATACATAGATCTGGCTATATAATATGCAAATGTTGGTTGATGATCATTCTTTCATGGCCTACTTTGTACACGTACTTCTGTCATGGCCTACTATGTTGGTCTATATGTACTTCAGTGGAACGCAACACAGTTATTATAACCTCGATAAAAGATCATATTTAAAATCGCACTACTTTAAATCGCATTTTTAATTAATAAACATGTGAATATATTTATCTGTTCATTATATGACATTGCTCAATTTTCATTTCTGAATGCTGCTTTGTTATACTTTTCAATAAATGTGTGTTTTGAACTTGGCTACTACTTTAGATTTTATCGACTTAATTAGAAATTTTCTAGAACAGTTGTAAAATATGCGGAGTTCGTTACACCTAAGATTCCTTCAATCCAATAAATTAAACTTAACTGAATTTAGAACAACATGTATCAACGAGAATGAACACAGTTCTGCCGTACCAAATTTCAACTAAATCGGTCACGTAGTTTGGGCGCTGTAACTTGCGGACAGATATGTGTTGAAACTAAGAGAAAATATCAAATCTTTGTTAACACCCGCCACAAAACAATTTACAAAATTTCATCTCATTGACTATACCCAAAATGTTTACAACTTATACGTTTATCATCACAGACCCGATGTTAGAACAGAACTATTGTTACATTTATAAATAGTTGCTACAGCCTACGTTAAAATTCTTTAAATTATTTTATACGTGTATAAAACAGAGATAAAATTGTCTGTTGCCCAGTCCAGTAGCTTATTTTTATGTTTTAAGCCTTCGAAGAAACATAGTTCCTCCATATAAGGGGTTTATAACATTTCATGTAACTGGAATTATAACTTTTATAGTAAGTGGGTAGTTGTTAAGAAACTATACTTCATCGTAACGCCTTCCATACTGTTTTCTAGTTAAAAATTATATTTAATTAAGATTTTTCAATGGTATTCTAAAACTTATATTGTTGTAAAGACAGACAGATATGCCAGGATAGGTTTATTTAACTGTTTTTACAAGTTTTTGTGGTGATTTCAATAAACTATGTTTTATAATGTTATATATTGTCATAATTACTAACCGGGATATATACCTCAATCCTTGAATTTAATTTTAAATTCCATGTACATTTCTCTGATTGTCAAGTTCAGCCTTTAGTATTAAAATTTCTTATCACCATATTTCTTGCTGCAGGGTGCAGCTGTCTTTGCAATGTTGGCTGCAGTTCTTGCCAGAGTCCAGCCCTATCCATTTCTTAGCGATTATGGTGGTTATGGGGGAGACAATGGTGGCTACGGTGGTGCTGGTGGTGGCCATGTTGACAACCATGAACATAAACTTCTCAGACAAGTAGTCGACCATCACGTGAGTTTTCTGAGGCAATATAGTCCTTTTTGGGTGTGATTTGAAGAGATGGCCTTAAGTGAAATACTATAAATGTACACCGGTTTAGCACATTGGCATTGAATTCTAAATAAATGAAAGTTTTCTGTGATTTCTGGAGTTTTGAAGAAATATTTGTATTGTGCAACTAGTTTTCCTGTGGGCATTTAATAAATAGATATTTTCAACTGCCCACAATTTGACATTTTTCACCAATTCCGTGGATAAAATTACATTCTTCTCATGATCTATTATTGTTTACCAAGAAAGATAACAAATGTGATTTTGTCGTTATTTATAACATAATAAGCACAAAGGGGCTAAACAAAAAACAGAATACTGTAACACAGTAAAAGCAGCATCGTCCTATTAATTACAAAATAAAACCACATTCAAATACTCAAGTTTAAAATATATTAAATTTAACTTCATTATAACAATGCTTAAAAATATATTTCGAGCATTAGCAGGTAAATATAACGACTAACAAAGTAAAGTAATCTCTGCTATTAGGTCTGTGTACAGAGTTCACACATAAACTTATTTGAACCTAAGTTGGCTACAGTTCGTTTCCAAACACATTCTACAAACACAAGAAACAAGATCCAAAAATTATATCTAATAATTACTTACTTTCAAAATCTTCACTGGATATCTTTGTCCTTAACCTTATTATAGATCTTAGGCTGACACTGTTAATAAACTGTGACTGTAAAACCATCAGAGAAAAGCCACAAAACATACTTTCTCACACAAAGCTTCAAAGCCGCTCACTATAAACACGCCATCTTTGACTACAGGAAAGTACCAACATGATCAACCTAAAGACTCAAGGTTTAAAATCAATCAACAGCACAGGTGTGTCATTTTAGGCTAGTCTCGCCAACGCCCACATAACTGATGCAGTGTGTCAAATAATATTAAGAAGGTTTTCATAATTCCAACGGATCACGAAGAATTAAGGAACAAAACAGCACTCAAAATTAGTTGTGTATTTATTAAACTAAATCTGAAGGTCTATGACGGTGGTGTATTAATAAAACAATGAGCTCTCTATACATTGTAAATCAGCTTGATTTTATGTTAAAAACGATGCTTCGTTGACTGGAATCCTCCATGCGCAGATTTTTTCATGCGGATCATAAATTAAATGCGTATTTTATTGTAAATGACAGCGCATACAGTCCGTATGCATTGGATAAAATCATCGTCTTTCTTCAGAAGCTAATGGTTGTTGAGCTAGTCAAGAACCTCCCATTTCCATGTTCTTCACGGTGTTCACAAAAGCCTGCCAACTTTTCCCTATCCTGAACCCCATGAATACAGACCAGACATTCACACGCTATTTATTGAAGATGCTTTTTAATATTATTATCCCATCTACGCTCAGTTGTAGATACCACATAATCAATTCTGTCTGTATTTCCGACAAAAATTCTGTATGAATTTATAATTTATCCTAAGCGTCCTACATGCCCCGGCCATCTCATGATCCTTGACTCAGTGATAAAGCAGGATTTGAGGTGTTCACAGCACCGTGTAGACTGGCACAAGTTTATCAACGTTGGTAAAATTTAGTGAATCTACACGGCGCTAAAATCCAAAAGACAGCTATCTACATTTGGTAACAAGAACAAATTACAAAATTACGTAATGCACAACTTTTAACATCGTATTAATTATTTCATAGCAGGTCCAAGTATTCTTCTTATTGCTCAAACATCTTACGCCTTCTCTAAACTGATGTTATAATTTGGATTTATCTTTCCTGAATTTTAAGCACCGTCTCTTGAACTGTTCCGTTTCTCTCCACCCTAATAATTACGATTACATAAGAATTTCCTGTACAGACAAGCAAATGTCAAATTTAGATCTTAATCGGGAACTTCTGCGTGCTTAGTTTTGTTGCATAAAGCAAATGCACTTCTTCCAACGTTACTATATAACCACTCAATTCACATTCCTCCAATACAACACCAATTCTTTTATCTTCATTGCAGCGTTGAACAACAAATTCCTCACTCAACACTTGTATTTCCTCTGAAAATAACTACATGTAACACGTGTTCTGTTGTGCTTACAGCAGGCTCATCCAAAGTACAATTTCAATTACGCAGTCCACGACCCACACACAGGTGATGTCAAGAACCAATGGGAGACGAGAGATGGCGACGTAGTGAAGGGATCGTACAGTTTGTTGGAAGCAGATGGCTCTGTCCGCACAGTGGACTACACAGCTGACAAACACAGCGGCTTTAACGCTGTGGTGAAGAGGACAGGTCATGCTAGACATCCGCAGAAGACATGAACTAGGAAGCCGTCAATCCCTGCCTCTAGTCGAAATACCAGATGGCGGAAAATTGACGTTAAAACAGTAGCAGAAATGAAAGAATAGACAGATTTAAATCAGAAACAAATACATATTTTTTTTACAAATATTAGTTATGTTCCACTCAACTTACGTGTGTTTCATTCTTATACGTTAAGCTGTTAATTGTTTTTGTTGTGTTTAAAGAATGTTTCGTCTCCATCCTGTACACATCATTGCAATTAAACATTTTATTGTTAGAGTTCATTTGTAATTTCAGTTAAGCATTTGGTGGTTGATGTTGCGTGAGTGTGAATATTATTGTTTTTTTATAAGTTAGTTAAAAATATTGTATGCATTAAACTTACACGCGTTGTTATAAAATACCCTAAACTTGTGATATAAAATTTTAAAACAATAACAAATTCATTTCGCGTATATTTTACCTAACCCCAAAGAATTTGAAATCAAAAAATATTTCCAAACATGTAAACATTTCACATATTACTATCGTGGTAAACACAATGGTTTATGGTGAGTTACGCATGTAATCAAAAGCTGAAGGATAATATTAAACTTTTATTATTAGTGTTCTGTCTGACGACAGGTCCATATATTATGAACAGGATCCTCCCATCCTCTTCAGGTTGTCAGGGACCTGCTCATACATATATACATTCTTGGCAGATGATCAGAAGTGGTTTGCCATTGCCTTCTTCTGTGTGTGAGTGGAGTAATTTTTGGGATGCCACGGAGAAATCGGGGAAGCCCCCGGAGGAAAACTCCGTGTTGCCTAGACCACGGCCTTGCCCAACACAAGTTATAAATTCGAGCACCGCCGGGAATCGAACCCGAGACCCCAGGCTTACAAGGCTAGTGTTCTGACCGCTAGACCAAACAGGCTACATTAATGCGGATTTCACTTAACAAAATCCTGACTGGTTAAAAACGGATTTTACTATTAAAAGTAATTAACTTTACTCAGACACCAGCCAAATGAAGCCCCTAAATTATGACCGAGGGTGTGGGAATATGCTGCTTGGTCAGGGTTATCACACGTCGGCGACGTCTGAATATGGAACAATGGAGGAATGGTGATTACAGTAGGAACTGAAGGACTTCGAGAATATCTTCTCCACCCTAAACCTCACCTGCAGTTGCCCGAGACTGAACCCGGATGTCACCAGTGAGAAGACAGCGTCTAGCCGCCTGAGCTACGGCACAGTCTGTCAAAATTGAAGAAGCCCTAGTAGGATTTAAGGTTTTCACGGCGATGAGTACGTAAACAGTTGTTTCTTGGGTTGTAGCGGTTTGTAGCCTGACAGAAGTTTGCCAACATTTCAGTGGTCCATGCTGCCTCCATTATCAGGGCGATGTTGATAGAGGCAGCAAGGACCTCTGAAACTTTGGTGATCTACCAGATTACACGGCGCGACAACCCAGAAGTTACTCATCTTCGCTAAAAAATAATTGTTTTAAATAAATAACAGTAAAAATATATGTGCATATTCTTACATGTCGTATACAGGAGTACGCACTCTTTATCAGCAGACAGAAATATTCAACCTTTTAATAACACTGGCTTCACTTCTATCTAAAATACAGTTTTATCTTTGCGTTGTATTCAAAATTACTGCTAAAAAAGTCCAAGTCCTGACCAGCATCTCAGAAAGAATTGGGTTAATACTAATATATTCGCATAGTATGACCCGTAATAGTTGAAAAGAGTGGTTTTCTTTTGTTGAACAGTAATACAATTTACTGCAGTCTTGTCTTTGCAAATGGCATTTAGAGTACAAACTTTATAAATTAAATGTGAAAACTTCTTCATGTCGACTAAAGCAAGATTCTTTCCAAGCGCACCGTTGCAAAACCGACAACCTAACTACAGATTCCCGCCAAAGGCAGACTCCGCCATACGCAATAGACAATAGGCACTGCGTGCAAACGGGTGAGAATTCTTGCAGTGCGTAACTAATAACAATATTCTACTTCTATTGTTGTCGGAAGAAAGTTAGAAGAAAGAAATTGCGATGCGTAGTAAAGATTTTCATAATTTATACTCTTCATCAAATCAAAAAATGTGATCACACTGACAATACAGTGATCAGATAAGGAATAAAATGAGTTGGGCATTGAACACGGATATTAAAGATGATGGCTGTATAAAAATAGTCGAGAAACATTAATTAATGAGATTATTCCCTTACAGATGATTGACTGTTTCACAGCCATGCAATACCACATGCAAGAAGGAGATTGTATTTACGTAAGTTTTAATATTTACATTTATAGATTGATGGGAAAAGACAAAACAAAGACAATAAAATAAATTAATTGCATGAAATACTGTATTCAGAAGAAAATAGTATTAGACTGTCCCTAATTTGTTCTTAATGGAGTTAATTTGACTAAACGCTAAACACCAATGGGCAAGAGTTTAATTATTATTATCGAACGTTATCATTATGCACCTGAAATTTGGTTAAATATGTGTTTAAATTATTTAATTCTCTTTAAATCTTCATCCCTAAATAATAGTAAACATTATAACAGTCTGTTAAACGTAAAATATTTGGGGGGAAGGCAGCAACATTCTTCTATCATTATCTGAAACTATCTCATGAACATAATTTATGACACTTGAATATCTAAGCTACGTTCCCCACGACAGATCTGAGCCACGGTCTGTAAGTTCGTACTGTGCACAAAATAACGCAAACAGCAAACGCATGAACGTGTGGTATTTAAAATGATAAAGCGCTGATGAATGTTGCGGTCTCGCTAGGAAGTCATTAATATTCAGTTTGAAATAGAGTACATCACAAAGGTTGTTAACTGCGTTAGGTTACTTAAATTATGAAAATTGGAAAATATTATTCTTTTAGTTACCCTAAGCAGAAAGTGAATAAAATAAACACATAATGGGAAGGCTATACCCGCCTGATCTTAAAATTGCTGTCACCGAACCTAAATCAGTTGTCCACGTAACTATGCTGTGGGTTTTGGAGGTCCAGTATGACCTCTGGTTTACATGAAGTTAAAACAAACTCTGTCAATACCGGATAATCAAACGTAAAGAATATCACAACATATTCTATAACTTGTATTTGAAACGTTTCTAAAATGAAGAATTTTTTTAACGAAATACAAGAATGAATAATTTATAGGTGTAGGCCTATGTTCTATGTTAGTGTGACTAGCTTTACAACTGTGAGTTTTGATCTGTAATAAAAATTCTATATGAAATAATGTTTACAGCAATTAAAATCATGGTTATTGTTTGTAAAACCTTGTAGTTACACCTGACAAATTTAAACCTGTCATAATCTACTAAAGTAAATAATGCACAGAATCGTATCAGTACATAACGCAATTTCTAACGTAATGTTCACGCTGGCCTCGAGAGGCAGATTTAAAAATGAGGAGTCTTACATTCTTCGTACATCTATAATTTCTTTCTAAAATAGTAACACGGAATTTACACGCAAACACTGAAGAAAACCGCGGTAATGTCATGGTAGGGGTCCTCCTGTCGGCTGTAAAATTTACTCTTCCTTTCGGATGTTTTCTTTGACCACAGCTACAGCAAGTCTCACATATTACAGATCACAATAATCCAGATCTATGTGTACCTGAAGGTGAATCCATTATATTCAGGGATTCTAATGTCATGGATGAAAAATATTTCTCAATGCAACTACGTACCTCAAGAACTGCTTCAAATCTACGTTTATGTTCTATCTATACAGAGTGTTCAAAAAGTTACAAAACAGTAAATACATAGTTGTAAGACTACAATACACGGAGACTGGCAGCGTGGTTATTTTTTGTCTACGTTGGTAGCGCATATATACGATATAGTTGGTCATTGTTGACATTACGTTAAATGCAAAATGGTGTTGTGCCTAAATGTAAACACGTTTTAGTTCTAACATGTTTTTAGAAACTGTGTTCTCAACTTTCTGAACGTTCTGTAGAAGTGAACTTATAAAAAAGAAACTTGCTCAGAACAGTAACTGAGAAATCGATTACGATCTTTTAGAAAACAACACACTGTAATGTTGTAGGTGGATACTGACGTTTCGGATGAACATCCTGTCTCCATTTTTAGAGTAGATGCGTTGAAGGTAGAAGCAAGCGGTTCCTCCGAAACGTTGGAAAATAGCTACATGACTAAGCGTGATGAAAAGACACAAAAACAGGTAGACCAAGTCTTGATAGACACAAGACAATTAAGTATACAGCCGTTTCTCCTATGACGCAGTAGTTGCGTTCCTGGAAAACATCGTGTCGTGAAAGAGTCCAAACCAAATTATGGAGATAACATCGAAATTGTAACACGCCACACGAATAAAACATTTAGAAACAAAAGCATGGGATATCTGTAGGACAAAGTTAATTATCGTGCAGTAGGAACAAAAATATCGTTTCGAATTTTAAGACGCCATCGACTGCAAGACGCATCTTGATTTAGAAACAGGTTGTCACGAGAAACGACGCTATATCGATCTTAGACACCATTAAATGTTAGACGCATCCCATTGTCAGAAATGTTAAAAAGTGAAAGGAAATGCAGTTTTATGAAAACCGATTAACTTAATGAAGCATTTGTCCAATGCATTGCCTACTCAGAATTTCCTCAAACAAGCAGATGATTTATCATCATTGGTTTTCAACTTCGCTTTAGACTAAACCAAAAAGAATATCCAAGAAACAAAGAAGGGGTGTAATGAATGGGACACATCAGCTTCTGGTCTGTGCTAATGGTACTTTTTGAGCGAATACATATATATCATAAAGAAGCTATATTATATGCTAGTAAAGGAACTGGTCTAGAAGTAAACACAGAGAAAACTGGATATATATTAAGAAAGGGTTTAATTGTGGGAATGCAGTTCGGAACCTTATGTCTTCTGTCATCTAACAACTTAAATATTAAAATATAGGAAATCAGTATTTTACCTGCATATTTTTGTATGGATGTAAACTTAAATCTCAAGATAAGGGAAGAGTGCTGAGAAGAATACTGATGGGCCCAAAAATATGTATACACAACATGACTTATAGTCATCCCTTGATGTCGGTATAAACTTAGTATTAAAGCTTTTATACAGGTTTTTGTTTTGTTCAAGTGTGTATTTGTACGAAAGACAGATAAATAACAAAAGGCCACAGAAAACTGCACAATGAAGAGATTCATAATTTGCACTCTTCACTATAAATCGGAATGATAATATGAAGGATGATGGGTGGATGGGACATGCAGTGAACAGGTGTGTTGAGAAGCGAGTATAAAGTATTGATTGAAATTCCTTCATGAAAGAAGTCACTACGATGATCTAGGAGTAGATGGGAGTATAATATTAAAATAGTTATGCTAACTGCGTTGGAGAATGTAGGCTGGTTTCGTGTGATTCATAACAGTAACGGGGTGTCGGGCTTTCTTGTCACGGTAATGAATCGGGTTCCATAAGAGCTCGGAATTCCTTGACCAGCTGACTGACTGTAAGATTCTCAAGACAGAATATGCTTCAAGGGGTTACTTAGTTACATAATGTTACCTATTATTACTATACAGTTACGTAATAACACTTTTAATTACAATCGCGCTCCGGTAAGCACACAGTACTGACCATTAGATCAAACATTTCTGTCTACAGTATCCTGTTTCCTGAATTCCTATATGGTTTCCTGTTCTGCGTGACTATGGCTCGTCAGGGAAGATACTGGGCGTTGTGGGGTACGCTGGTGTTTTCACAAATATCTGTGCCAAGCTCCATCGTCACGGTGTATCGCCACAATTAAAATTAGTTCAGTGTATAAAAGGAGGTGTATCTGTGTAAACAATATCATTCGGTCCTCAGCGTCTCCAACACAAAACCAACTCATCTAACAATGCAAGGCCTTCAGGTATGTTCTTGAAATAATTGTATACATCGCTCGACATACTTAGTTAACAACAGTTTCCATTTATTCAAGTGTCCACATGATAACTTCAGGAGTACAAATCTAAATTTTGGAAAAAAATTATATATTTATAAACGCAGCCCCACTATGTGTAGAAACATGGCGGTTACAGAAGTTTCAGATATGCTTGAAGCCTTATCGTTCTGTTGATGGAGGCAGCATGCAGCTCTGAAACGTCTGTAAACTTTCGTACGTAGGCTACATCGACTACTCATACAAGAGTTTCATTTAGCTCGGCTTCGACGTCTTTTCTGTACAATACTAAGTCAAAAATTTGTCAATGGAAACGTGTCTGCAGACAGACAGTGAAACTAAGAAATTCAGAAAGTGAGATACAAAGAAGCAGACTGTGAATGAGTTCTGCACTGTTGCAGATTGTTGTTGTATGCATCATCGTAGCCTTCGTCGCTACTGTCAATGCATACCCTGGATATTACGGGCATGAAGAATACGAACATCTATCTGCAGGTGAAAAGGAGGATGATAAGAACGTAAGTGATGACAATATAACAGTTTAAGAATATTTTTGTTATGTGAATAATAATTTTCCTATTTTTTTAATTTGTTACTGAAATACCTTACGGCTCTTTAAAAACAACAAAAATACCATCTACTTTAACACCCAGGAACTCTGCGTTTTACTCAGTGATTATTTCCTTAAACTGCATTAACCAACTGATCTCATTTATAAGCGTTGTATTTTGAGATAGGAACTTACTTTTGAGGTGTTATGAGATGAACTTTGTTAGTAAAGTAAAACTGTCCCACTATACGCCATACATACGCTTGACGGAAGAGGTGGTATAACTGCTACTCATTCTTAACATCGGAACTAGATGGGGTAGGTGGTCAGCATCACGCCCCGGCCGTGCTTTAACGCTGATACGCCTTTCTAGCAAGATACCCTAGACATGAACATTATGAGCAAGTTGAAAGTCCTATGATGTTACGACGATGTCATGGATACGAACCAGTGTCTTCTCATGCGACGCACGTGTCTGTTACAGGCCTACCCCCAGTACAAGTTCGAGTACAGCGTCTATGATCCTCATAGCGGCGATGTAAAGAACCAATGGGAAACAAGAGACGGTGACGCGGTGAAGGGGTCATACAGCCTCAAGGAATCTGACGGTTCCACCCGCGTCGTAGAATACACTGCCGACAAGCTCAACGGCTTTATCGCGGTGGTCAAGAAGGCCGGAGGTCACACCAAGCCCGAGATAACCTACCATGGTGCCAAAGCTCCGTACTGATCCACTTGACAGTCAGACCAATTCCACTTTACATATTATTTATTAATATTTATACATACTTTTTGGTTAAATAAAGACGAAGTAACTCAATATTGTCGACTCCTTCTTGAGAAACTAATAGTTTCTCAGTTGATAAAAACATCCTTTTCGTTTGTGGAATTAGAAGATTCATTACGGTCTTCGTAAGAACCAACCACAAGTCCCTAACCTGAGCTAGAATACTCCAGTCCACGCCCTAATCCTTTCACACTTAAATTTCCCAAATGGTATCTTGACTAAATTTGTTTATCAAACGCCTTGAACCAAGCAGGCCTGCAACTGACTTCTCTTTCCGATTCGGTAGTCAATGAAAGAGCACGCAGTTTCAGTTCAAATGGCTGGTTATAAGATAACACAAATTGAGAAATGTAGGCCTATGCACAGTTTAAAAATTCTGGCGTCTTAGCAATAATCTGGCCTTGAATTTTGCTGATGACACCAGTAACTGATATGTTGTACTGAGGTCAATAACCTTTTCATCAACGGGCCGTCTGGCTGGGTGATGGCGTCATCACGGAGGGTGCCTACGTGACTCTGTAGCTGGCTGCAGTTTTCTCCGTGCGGATTCCCCACTGCAACCACAAGCATCAGGGTGACCTGGTGTTTCCCAAAGGAGGAAATTCCTCACATATTTGTAAATTTGCAGTCCCTGTTTCTGACCATAACTGAATTAAAATGTATCGACAAATTTTAATAAAACCCAATATCAAATTTCATGAAATTTATTCAGAGATTCTTGAACTGTAACTTGCTAGCAGAAGGACGGACATGATGAAGGTAATTGGTGTATTGTTGCAAAGTTTGGTTATAAAAGCGCTGAACTGATCATCACGTATTCTTTTTTGTCGAAGTCCCCGTAGAGATTGCCATAAGGTGGTAAAGCATCTTACATACAAACGTGACTGTTTCCAACATCATTATCGGTTACGCATGGAGTGTCCTGACTCAGAAATTCCATAAAATAAAATGAAAACAGTAAAAGTAATTGTTTATATGTAATTTACAACTTTCATCTCTTATAAGAATTTGTAATGAAAATTAAGGCCTCAAATAACTTATAAACATTGTGATACAATGCTTTAATCACAGAAATATGTATTTTAATGTGTATTATTAATATGCAGTTATGATCTACACTTTAACTTTGTTCTTAACTGTGGCGCCATTTCAAGTTAGGCCTTTTCAAGCTGAAAGTTTATTAAAATGATGAACTGACTTTATTTAATAACATGTGACAAGGTAAAACTTATAGCGATTAACATTTAGAATTTGTGGGAACAGCCTACACATGAATATCACCATATTTTTCCATCTGTTTCTTCTAGCAACCACAACTGTTTCTATAAAACCCTGCAGAAGTCATAAAGAACATTCTAAGGACATCACACACATGTCGAAGTTGTGTTAAACTGAATTTCAGATTCTACAGGTTGGGGGTTGGTCGCAAGGCTAACAACCTTGCACCGTAAAAAGAAAGATGTTTCGAAACCTAAACCTCGGACAGACGGACCTAACAGAGGACCGAATGGAAGAGGAGAATTGAGGAGGCCATGGACCGAATACGGACCGGAGAGCCATAGTAGAAGAAGAACATACAGACATATAACTGGATTACAATATTGTCAACTTTTTTACAATTTGCACTTTACTATGCAAATATTTTATTTATGAAATTTATCAGTAACACTAAATAAATGATTAAAATTTAACTGCCAATATTTTGTATTTAAAAATACATAAAAATGTATTTCTAAAGCCATTCAGAAATTCAAAATAGCAATTACTTTCAAATAAATCTTATGCACAGAGGGGAATTACCATGATAAAAAACAAACACATAAAATCTCATTAAAATAGGTCATTATGCTGAATCTGCTATTTATAACCAACTTAATATTTGTGTCAGATACCATAATGGTCCACAAAGCATTTGTAAATAAAAAAACGAAATAACACGTCTCCATTTAAAGTTGTCATAAATGGATATTTTTATAGTTCTATGACAAATAAAAATTTATTGACAGGTAGATTTGTGAAAGGTTAGTTATTTTAATTTAATTTACAAGATGATGTGTTTGTGCTTCCTCTGCAATCATGAATTTTGTATTTGGCATTAGAAGACAACATGCAGGAATGTAGTAAGTGGCTCTATGTTAGTTTATGGTAGGTCTGTGACACTCTTGACGCTGTAAAACATGCAGTTGAAGACAGACATCTTCAGACTTGCAGCTGTGAAAACCTCTAATCCTACTTCATGCAGTTATGTGCTAAAGTAGCCGAAATGTGTGGTCACCACACTATGAAGTATATGGTACCTACCGAGTCAATAGAGCCTGTAAAAGACATCTGTAAATCCAGCATGCTGTAAGTGGCACAGCTCCAAGCCATGCCAGTGCCACTAGTGTGTAGTGTAACCAATACTTAACAGCAGTGCCTCCAGCAACATCACAAAGAGGTAATCGCCTTGGCATGTCTGGAAAATAAATTGGTGTAAAGGAGAAGCGGTGCCTGCCCGTTTAACTTGCAATATTCTATTCTAAAATCTGACAATTTTGTTTCAACATAACTCATTCATTTCCCGCAATATCAAAATTACAACACTGCCCCTTAATAGAAGAAACACGATAATCTACCCAACATCCTTTAACATCCTTCTAGAAGCGTGACATGATGTTACTCTTGCTAAAGGCCAGAATGAGATTTGCAACATAAACTGAATCTGCGATGGTACACCTTCCTTGATATGCGACAAAGATGCAATCAAGCAACAACAGGAAACCTGTCTGCCTTGCTCTCTGATTATTACTTCTTTGTTTGTTAACAAAACATTACTGGTCTGCATATTCTGTTCACACAAACAAATGCATCTTCTCTTTTCAATATCATTAGCAGCAGCTCTATAGCCCGACGCGGGCCTCGGCTTCCCAAAGAACTTTCTTCCAAGCATACCTGTTTTTGGCTACTGTCCACCGATTCTTAACTCCTGTTTTCTTTACATCTTCTAGCACCTCGTCCATCCATCTTAGATTGGGTCATCCAACATTCCTTTTTCCTTCAGGTTTACAGTCCATAATTCTTTTAAGACTTTCATCAGCGTTCATCCTTTGGACATGTTTTAATTGTTGCAATGATATCAGGTGATCTGTAGAGCTGGTACAATTCTATATTATATGTTCATCATCGCCACTCTCCTTCCTCTTTTACTGGGCCATATATTTCCTATTTTTTTTTTCAAATGCACACAGTCAGGATATATCGGATTGTGTTACTACCCACGTCTCACTTCCATGCGTCAGGATTGGTTTTGCCAGTGTTGTATATAGTCTAATTTTTGTTTCACTTGTGACGAGTCATGATTTAAAATTGTTTCAATAAATCATAATAACATCTGTTAGCATTCTGTATATATATAGCAAATTGTTCATGTTGTGACAGTGCCAAAACTTCTTTTTTAATTTTCTGAATGTCCACTTAATTGTGATCGTCCTTTCTCTCAAGGATTATACAGTGACACATCTTGGAAGAACAGCAGTATTCTCACAGGTATGAAAACCTCAGACTTTGTAGTTTTCAATTACAAGTCAAACTGATTCACAATTATGGGATGGTTTACAAGTTACATTTACTGTGATGCTGCTGTTTTGCCAGATTTTTGAACTTTGGAAAAGATCAGTTAACTGATTGGGTTGTTTGATGGGAGGGTGGGGACAAATTAGTAAAGGTACAGAGGTTTGAAGAGAACTGTATGTTGAAGGTCAAATCAAAGTTTGTCAGCAGACTACTCAAAATTGGGTCATCTAAAAAAAATTTGCATGACATAAAATGCAGTGTAGGTTTATAATTTATTTGGAATATTTTTCAATATGGTTAATATTTAATGAGGTGGAAGCCTGTAAGGCTCATCAGATTTAAAGTAATATTTATACCCACATTTTTCAGAATATGAAATTTGGTGGCATACCTCTCCACTGGTCATGCTCAAAAGAAGCAATAGAAACTCTTATAAGTATGGGATATGATATGAATTCACAAAATTGTGATGGACGTACAGCACTTCACGTCATGTTACTGAGGAATCATTTGGAGTGTCATGATTTTGTATAAATGAAATATTGTGGCCATATTTTGCAACAGTTGTAGATAAAATGTAAGGATATGCATATGCTGACCAGGAAATGTTAACCGAACAGATAACCCATCATCACCTCTGATATAATTTAGGACTTGCTTTAATTATTGGTCACAATAATGACCTGGTGTTTTGCATTTGTAGGGATAGGTTAGCAGTTGGCACTTGCTTGGAACAGTGATATTCTGTCATCAGGAAGTCATGATGGAATTATCTTACATTGTGATGTGAGAACTCCTAGTCTTGTGACAGAAAGAAGGTTTATTGGCCATCAACATGAGGTTAGTAGGAAATCATTTAAGTGTTATTATTTTTGTTATTATTGCAAAAGAGTGTCATTGTGTTTTTGGTTTGTGACACCATGTGGACTTACATTGAATTCGTCAAATCAATTCGAGCTCTGGCCACTTCTACAATGCGTGTAGGCGTACCGAACTGTGAATATTGGGAAGCAGCAGCCAGCGCCATCTCTTAGGCACCGTCACAAACTTCGCGCGTGAACATCATAACATATAGATTTAAATCGTTGTTTTGTCGCTGGGAGTGGTGGCGTACTCCTGTAATCCAGCTACTTGGAGGCTAGGTGTTGAGGATGATTTGAGGTCGGGAGTTCTGGTGCACTGTGTCCCACGTTGACTGGGCGTCCGCACTAAGCTGGGCATCAATATGGGCACTCTGGGGGAGCTTGGGGTGGCCAGGTTGGCTAAGGAGGGGCGGACCGGGCCAGAGGGGAAACTCAGCAGCCAGAAGTCCCCGTGTGGAGCAGTAGTGGGAT